AAGTACAAATGCAAGACTCTTGCTCTTATCCCATATAGACAGGGGGAAAATATCAGGAACGAAAGGACATCTTTGTTCAAAGGGGTTATCATGAGACTCTTGGTTCTGTTTGCCCTTTGGGTCATGTCTGTACCTGAACAGAGAAAAATGATCAAAAGAAATCAAACTTTTGCCAGCCAGCTTCTGTATAGCTTGCGTGAAGCAATGTTGTTCGTCCATAATAACAGTAAATAATTGTGAGCCGAAAAAATGTATTGCTTTTCTGTACAATAAATAGTAACTGTACCTCTAAAAGAAAATAAGAAAATTTTTTAGTATGTACCTTAAAATATAATATTTATAATTAAATTTATATAAATATTTATATTAAATTTAATTAAAATATAATATAATATAAAAATTTATATAAAATTAATTATAAATAATATAATTAATAAAATTTAAGGAAGATATGTTCAAGAAATTAATATACAGATACTTTTGGGTGAATGAGAGATGTAATTAATATACATACTGGTAGTTGTTGAGCTACCCTCATTCATTCCATTTTCAAAAAAAAAAAAAACCTCATTCATTCGGCCCTTTTTCCTTCCAACATTCCTATAAAATCAGCTCCCTCCCTCACTGATTCTTTGTGCATTCCCCTGCAGCATACACAAATATGGATTTCATAGACTTCTGCCTCTTCTTCCCCACCCTCATCTTCCTCCGCCTATGGTGGCGTTACTGGTCTCGCAACGCCTCCCACCGCAAGAACCTGCCTCCTAGTCCGCCAGGTTGGCCACTTGTTGGCAACCTCATCCAAGTCATACTACAACGCCGCCATTTCATCTTCCTCATACGTGATTTACATAAAAAATATGGTCCAATATTCACCATGCAGATGGGGCAACGCACCATGATTATTATTACGGACTCTAAACTCATCCACGAAGCCCTTGTCCAAAGGGGTCCGGAGTTCGCCTCCAGGCCACCGGACTCTCCCATCCGCCTTGTCTTCAGCATGGGGAAATGTGCCATCAACTCTGCTGAGTACGGCCCACTTTGGCGCACCCTGAGGCGAAACTTTGTAACTGAGCTCATAAGTCCTATGAGAGTGAAGCAATGTAGTTGGATTCGGAAGTGGGCCATGGAAAACCACATGAAAAGGATCAAAACTGAGTCCGTGGAAAATGGGTTCGTGGAGGTGATGAGCAACTGTCGGTTAACCATATGCAGCATCTTAATCTGTTTGTGCTTCGGAGCCAAGATTTCCGAAGAACGGATCAAGCATATCGAAAGCATTCTCAAAGAGGTATACAGTGTTGGATTTTTAATACCATAATTACTTTTATATATGTATGAGAGTATTAAGTTCTAGTTAGTATTTAATACCACTAACTATTGTTAAAAAAATATGAACTCAATCTCATTGATTTGATTAATCTAACAACAGGTAATGCTGATAACATCACCCAAGTTACCGGATTTTTTACCCATTTTTACTCCATTATTTCGCCGCCAAGTGAAGGAGGCAAAAGAACTAAGAAAGAGACAACTCCAGTGTTTGGTTCCATTGATAAGGAATAGAAGAAACTTTGTGGAGAAAGGCGAAAACAATAATGGGGAGATGGTGAGCCCTATTGGTGCTGCATATATAGACTCGTTATTCAAGCTCGAGCCAGCAACACGCCAGTTGGGGGAAGAAGAGTACGTGACGTTGTGCTCGGAGGTGATCAGCGCCGGGACAGACACTAGTGCCACAACCGTGGAATGGGCTTTGCTTCATTTGGTTATGAACCAAGAGATTCAAGAAAAGTTGTACAAGGAGATTGTGGAGTGTGTAGGAAAAGGGGGAGAGATCAAAGAAGAAGACATCGAGAAAATGCCGTACCTTGACGCCGTGGTCAAAGAAACTCTCCGGCGACACCCTCCGGGGCATTTTCTTTTGTCTCATGCCGCCATAAAAGATACAGAGTTAGGTGGATACAAAATTCCAGCCGAAGCCTACGTGGAGTTTTACACGGCATGGGTGACTGAGAATCCGGATCTGTGGTCGGATCCGGGTGAGTTCCGACCCGAGAGGTTTTTGCACGGGGACGGTGTTGGGGTGGACATAACAGGGACAAGAGCAGTGAAGATGGTGCCATTTGGCGCCGGGAGGCGGATTTGTCCGGCGTGGAGCTTGGGTATGCTGCATATAAATTTGCTGCTGGCAAGGATGGTTCAGGCGTTCAAGTGGGTGCCAGTGCCGGATTCTCCACCCGACCCGACTGAGACGTATGCTTTCACTGTTGTGATGAAGAATCCTCTCAAGGCCCTCATCCTTCCAAGGGTAAAATGAAAAAGGGGAAACCCCTAAAGAAAAGGATAATTGTGACTAATCAGGTTATGCTAAATTTATGAACTTTTTAATTAGGTTAATTAATTAATACATACTTTACTGCCTTAAGTTATTTTGGTGGGATTGTAATTGTAGAATCGTATTTTTTTTTATAATATATGATATTAATTAATATATGTCTGTTGTTGCATCTTGAGAGGAATTTAATTTTGTGACAGTACTATAATTATAATTTTATATATAATTATAAATTTATAATTATGATATATTATTAAATAAATATATATAACATTATCAATGAATTACTA